CTCTCTCTCTCTCACACACACACACACACACACACACTCTCTCTCTCTCACACACAGTTCGCTTACCGTTGCGCCCCCTTGTCAGACGTTTCGAAACCGCCATGCCCGCACACAACTGAAAGGGCATGGCGCGCTGAAACGACTAACCCCTCGCATCCTTCCCCTCCGCCCCAATGTCGCGTCCCGATACTTGGCGAGCCGAAAGAACAAAACCAAACACAGAGGGCCAATACCTATCCTTCCCCCCTGGCCCAATGTCGCGTCCCGGTGCTTGCAGGTCCGAAAAAAACAAACGAAAATCTGAATACCCACCTCCCCCACCCCGATACGCCGTCCCGATGCACGCAAGGCCGAAATGACAACCCCCCCGGCCCAAACCGACAAACCCCCACCCCTCCGATAGGGCCGACAACAACGAAACGACAAATCGGCCTGCTACCATCCGCGCGGGACCTCCGGGACTGCCCCGCCAGCGAGCCGGGTCTCACGTGGGACCGTCACGTGAGACCCGCTGTTTGCTTTAGAGTATTAGGGAAGTCTGACAGAGGACTGCTAATCTGCTAAACCTCAAAACCTCTTGATGAAATCAAACTGAAAAAAGGAGCTTACATTTCCTGCAGCCTACACCGGCCACTGATTTTTACCTAGTCTTTCACTGAAAGCGGCCTAAGATCGACCTGAATAGGATCAATCATGCGTATCCGACAACCATGAGCAGTATGCGAACCGACCCTCCTGATTGATAGAAGCTAGTCTCTTATTCTGAGCCCAGGTTTTCTGAAACCAAATGATATTCTTCCGATGCCAGTCCGCTCGAATAGTCCTTCTGATGCTCTGTTTGATCAGCAGCTGTTGGTGTCTTTTGGCCATAACTTCCCCTCTGAAGACTCTTGCATTGTGAGCAGCCCAGATGGTTTCCATCAGTACTCCTCTGCAGCAAAGGGCCACGTAGCCCCAGCCAGATGAGTATGATAAGTTCTGAGGGAGGATACCAGTTAATACCCACGTATCTGACCAATCCAGCACTCCCCCTGAAATACTGCTCCAGTGGGTTGACCACCAACTGTTGATTTCGTCCGCCAACGGACAACAGAGCCAGAGGTGGAGCATATTCTCCCACCCCCAGTTACATCTCATACATGGGAAGAAATTTCCATGCCCTTGGATACCAACCACAAGGCCGTTGGCATAACGAAGAGAGACTGAATCCACATAAGGCTCGCTTGTTTCTGCACCGGATAATTTCTCAAGGCTCTCCAAAATTTCAGGATACTGGGCGCCGTGATACCAGAGGTTCCTGACAACGGGTGAAAATCTGCCCTTTCTACTGCCTGAGTGAGGGCTTTCTTGTTAGCTCTCTGCTGAAGTGCTTGAACACCTACCTTCGCCCAGTAGGAGCAGAGGGGGATGAGGCTCCCATTCTTCTCTTGGTCCTTCCACCCCAGGAGCAAAGGCTCTACTTTAAAAGTATCTGCATTTCGTAACAGAGTAGCTTTTCCCTTGCCTTTATCTGGTTTCTGAAAAAGAACCCTGACTTCCACCATATCCCCCGTATCATCGAAGTGTGAGTCTTTATCTTCCATTATGAGGGGGGAGTTCTCCAAACACCCCGCTATCGTTTTCCACTCCTGAACTCGGATACCAGAGGGCAGGTCTGGGCCCAGTACTTGGCATATATGATCTGCCTGCGTCTTCGACTGAAGCCACGTACCTACCGAATGTTCCGAGTCCGGTTGGAGTATGTTGACCCACGACCGAGGGATAGCTGCCACCAAAGCTGCATAGTGATCTAGTACTTTATGTAACCTTGGAAGCCTTTGCCTGATCTGAGTGTCATCCAAAAATCTTGCATGATGTGCATCCCAGATGTCCTTGAGTTGCACAATGCCTTTCTTTATCCAGCCTCTGGCAAAGTTCCCAGGATTTTCTGACGCCATGAAGCAAGATCTGTCTTTTTGTCTAACGTAGGTGTTCTCAAATAGTAATTGATTGAGTACTTCTTGTCTTGAAGTCGGGGGGGAGCAACTCATCGGCTTAATCTTATTCCACGCTCCCAAGAACCCGACGAATTCAGTGTTTTGCAATGGATGTTCCCACGCCCAGCCTCTGGGGGTCAATCGGTGATAGTCTACTGTGATTTGCATCTAGACTGAAAGTTGCCCCAAATACAGCTATAATATGGGGTGGTTATATTTCTGGTGAGGGTGGTGACATTATTTTATCCATCTGATTCCATCAAGAAAAAAAAATGAAGTCCAGATCTCCTCGACAGCGGTCGCATGTGTGTACCATTCAGCCACATGGGCTGGGTCATAGGCTACGAAGCCGCTGCTTTGATTTATGTTTGTTAATAAAAAAAAGTGGTGAAGATCTTGAGATATGGTTGCAAAAAAAAAAAAAAAAAAAAAAAAAA